TCTCTCTCTCTCTCTCTCTCTCTCTCTCTCTATTCTCTAACGTGTTACACACAATATTTCATACAATAAATGCAGTTTTTCGTTATGCATATCGTAAAAGATGTATTATATATACGCGCTTATTATTAGCGCATCCATACATATATTGTGAATCAAATATTCGATCATAATTTTTATCATTTTTTATCCGTCATTGCACTTAGCGCCAGCCAGAGGCACGTAGCCGGCCGTATTAACTATTAAGATAATTTAAAAAAAAAAAAAAAAACTAAAGAAGAAGAAAAAACATAAATAAATATATAATATATAATAATGTTAAGAAGAATAATTATAGAAAGAAAAAAAGAAAGAAAGAATACGATGAATCCTATTTCGTGTGATTATTCAAACGTATTCCATGTGTATAATACTCTCCTCTACGCTCGTGTAAAATTATTTTTGTTTAATATTTCTTGATTATTTTCTTTCACTCAATTTTAATAAATTTTTCTTTTTTTGTTTATTCCTTTCTTTCTTTCTTTTTATTTTTCATTCATTCAATCATATATGCTTTCTATCTCTTTCTCTCTCTATCTTTTTTTTCTACGTGGAAAATATGTAAATACGAATAAGACAATGATTTTTTCTCCTAAACGTTCTTTCTAATATATCGTGCCTCCAGCATAGAGCTATTTCCCATATTTAATAGTGAGAAGTCTAACCAATATAGTACACAAATCTTATTAGAAATTACATTTACTATACTGTTCTGTAGAACGTGAACGTAAAGGAGGAGCCTCAAGGTTAATCATTCGCTTTTAATTTACCATGATTTTTTTTTAAAGGAGAGGTGATAATCGGATACTATTCATATTATATATTATAATAGGCTGACTTTTCGCCCCGATGACGCATTTCTTAAGTTTCTTTTTTAAATCGTACAACACGGCAGGTAAAGAGTGTGTTTTAATAATTTCATGTGTTGTTTGCTGTTGTTATTAAATCTTTTTTTTTTTTTTTTGTTCTTTTGTTTAATCATTATGTTATTTTTTTTTTTTTATTATTTTTGTTTGTTTTTTTTTTTTTTTTCTTATAGAT